TTTATTATATTTCATTTATAATATTTTTAAAAAATAAATAATTAAATATTAAAATAATTTTTAATTATAATTACAATACAATACATGATAATATAACTAGAATTAGAGCCACTAATACAATCATAATACTAATCACGAACTTATCGCTAAAACCATAATCTGAATTTGCCGCTAGTTAACCCCATTATGCGATCACTCCTCAAAACCCAATTCCGCTCTTCTCTAATAAGAAAAAAATAAAAATAAAAAATCTCGGACTCCACCCGTCCTCCCTAATATTCTTCATTAAGTTCGCATGATTTCTTCTTCTATTGGGATCTCAAACTTGGCAGCCTTCTTGATGTATTTTTCCCTTCAAATCTTCTGCTTTTTCTTGCAGAAAAACTTGGGTTTTGTTGGAAGTTTTTTTCTCTAATTTGCTGCTATTCAGACCTTCTCCAATTGCTCGGTTTTCTTGCAAAAAATTGGTAAGTTAAGCGCTTGAAATTTTGGCCCAAATCTGGTTATGTTGATGCGTTAAATGTTGAATCTTTCTGGTCTTTTCCTGTTCGTTATCACGCCCTAAATCTGCCTTTAAATGGAATTAATCTCAGTTGTTTTTCATTGCTTAAATTCACTTTCATGGTGCGAGTTTTTTTTTTTTTTTTTTTGCACTTTATGAACTCTGTTTACTTGCTGTTCAAGCCTAAAAGAATTGCTTGATTTCTGCTCTCGTTTATCCGTTTCTGCTGCCTCAGTTCCAACCTGTTTTGCTCTTGAAAAATTGTACAAATCTGCTGTTTAAAAACACTTATTGTTGCTCGGTTTTATGCTGTAAAAACAACATCTGTTCACATGATTTTTTTGCGCATAAATCACGCATAAAACAACTAAGAACAGCTCAAAATTTCACTTTTGAGTGGCTGCTGTTTTTCTGCTTTAAAACCCCTTGTTATTGCTCTATTTTGTGGCTGCAAATCTGCTCTGTTATGTTATCCTTGATTAAACCACTAAAGAACTGTCATGTTTTAGTCACGTTTTGCTTGAAAATTTTGCACAAAACAGTTCGAGATTTTTAGTTACATTTAGCTGCTGTATTCTTCACTTTTCTACCCAGTTTCTACACTGTTTTTGCTGCTGTTCTTGCCCTGAAAATCCCTGCTGTTCAGAGTGTTTTCTGAACATTTTGGGGACTGTTTTAAATGGCAGAAACCCCACGTTGCTGCCCAACTTTTTCTGCTGCTATCCAGGGTAGTAGTTTAGAGCCTAGTTACTGACCATTTTATGCTTTGTGTTGCCCAGAAAACCTGTTTGGTATACTGCTGTTTAGAGTGACATTTGGAGCCATTTTAGGTGTGTTTCTGCCCTCTTTAGCTGCTGCAAAAATTCTCATTACATGCCTCTATTTTCCCTCACAATTAGGTCAGTGTTTAAGTTCTAGACTTCTAGTTTAAGAGAAAACTTGGGTAACTAATCAATGAGTAAATTGAATATTGTGGAATTGAGGTTGTTGAATATTTTTCCCGAGTCAAAGTAATAAGTATGAGCATGATTATGAATCTGATTATGAATGAGTTAAGGAAGAAATTCTTGAAGTAAGTTTGGAAGAGTTAAAGAGAGTTGGGAAATTTATTTGAAGAATTCAATTAGAATGATTAATCTGTTAAGAGGTACTGGATATTGAAGGGGGGTTGCTGAATTTATTTAAGTTGGGCTGGTAGATGGAAAGTTTAAGTTAAAGAAGGGGATATAAAGGAAAAGTGAAAGAAAGAAATCTTATTAGCTAGAAAACATGAAGCTGGAGTTGGTATCTTGATTTGAAATAGTTTGAGGATGTTATGATTCTAGCGTGTCTTTGTTATGATTTAGGTTCTTGAGCTTCGGCATCCTTAACTAGCAAACTTGCTTGCTTGGACCTGATGTAAGGAAATAAGATACATGGCTGCCCATTTTGCCAAGAAAATACATTTTATGCCAAATTTCTATTTTATCCATCTTAAAGCTTTTTACATGTTTAGCTATTAAATCTCCATTTTTTTTACACCTGCTTTTATTTCTGCCATGGTTGAATCATCATTTCAGTTTCTGAATTTTTCTTTTGATCAAAAGTGTTTATTGTAAAATAATAATTTTGCTCTTGCCTTACTAGTTTTTAATAAATTCATGATTATGCATACTAGATGGTTTAACCTTCTTATGGTTTATACGTGCTTGATTTTAGAACATCTTATTTCTATTTAAACAAGCTAAAACTAGTTTTGTCTACCCATGATGATCATGTATAATGTTATATGCCTGGTTGCCAATGGGGCTACGCATTGGCCATGTCAACATGTTATTTTGCTTGTTATAGACCGAAGCTAGCCAGTGTCCTGATATTCATGTTTCTTGCATGATATATTGTGGCAGACTTCCTGTACTTGTTCCTGAAAAATATATTTTGACACAATATTTAATACATGATTAGTCTGTTTTAAGTTCTAGCATTGAGACAAAGCTCTATGATTCAGTTTTGAGTCTTAATTAATTATTTGAAATTCTGAACATGTATGGCATGCATACTGAGTTGTGCTCACACCTGCAACAAACATTTTTAAGTACTGCCTAGAGGCAGGACGACGGGATATATGGGTTGAGACGTAACTAGATAGTTATTTTGTTTTTAGGTTTAATAATTAAGATTGAGATTTTCATGACTCGAGTTTGGAGATTTGTGTGATTTTATCATTGGAGACAATAAAAGTTTCTTGTTATTTTGGGTTTTGAGAATTATTTTTAACAATGAACTATGATATAGAGTTATTATTTGAGTTTTGTAAATATTTGGAGTTCATTGAGTTTCAGTGGAGAAACTTGGATGGAATTATATTTTGGAGTTATATAGATGTGTATACTTGTAAGTAGGTTAGCAGGTTCAGAGCCTTGGATGTCTGTAGAAATACTCTGCAGGTGTACGGCGTCTGCATGCTCCTGGTTTCGGGAGGTGATAGCGACCTTGTCATCGACCCGCAACATGGGATTTTGGAGTCCAAAACTTGCCAAATCTGGACGGCTTTGAACATCACAAGCAAAAGCAGGGGATGTCTGTGCCAAAACCTGGACAGAGCTAAAACAGAAGATGAAACAGAGGAAAACAGAGACCTCCATTGCAAAAACAGGGGAGTTCATTTTGAGTGATCTTAACATGATACCCAGAAGTTAAATTTTATAGAGGGAGAGGAGTTGAATGATTTTATAAGAAGATATGCTGTTTTTTAGCAGCCCCTGATGGAAATGCATTAAATTGGGGGTTTGTTTTTTTGGCAGGGAAAACTGAAATGAGGATCAGAGAGGGAGTATCTGAAAGTTATATTTGGAGTTTTAGGAAGTAAAGAGGTCAGTGGGTTCATGAGGGGGATTTGACATTTTGTAAGCTGAGGTCTGAAGTTGTGTTTTTTTTGTAGGGACTGCATGAATGTGAAGAAAGAGAAGAGAAGGAGCAGTATAGGAAATGGTGTATAAGGGGCTAAATTTATTGAAGGTCTTGAAAGTTGAGATTTTTAGGTATTTTGTATTAGTCACGGGAGGGATGTGGTGGCTTGTAGCTCCATTCTTTAGCTACCTACTTGGTTAAAGACCATTTGGATTGTTCTTATATATAACTCTAATAACTTACATAATACATTAATAATTTTATTCGATATTTTTTTTCTCTTCTTAGGAAAACTATTTTCAGCTTATTCATGTGCATTTATGTTTCAGATTTCGTCTTTCATATCCTAGGCAGATACTGCAAGAATATGGAAACTTATGTAACAGACTTGTGAAGGAGAATCACAGGTTGTATTCAAGTGTTTAGATGATGATGATGGTGTGAGGAAATGTATCAAGTCCAAATTTGATAACTGCAATGGATATTCGAGGATAATAAATTACACCGCTCCATAGAATATGGAGGAAAGAGAAGTTGAAGGACTTGGAATGCACACTTATATGAGTTCCATAACAATGGTGTATCATAATGACATTAATGGGCCGCGAAGGAGAAGGATGGACAATAGATGGACATGGATGTACTTGAGGATCCACTTGTAGTTGACATTGGAGATCCGATGCTGGATTGGAGCAATGAAAGGTTCAGATCAGCAGAACACTATGTTATTTTGAAGCCATTCATTGATTGATCCTCCTGTACATTCTTCTAATGATTTGACGATGAAAAGATGATCTTTGTCCCAGCTGAAGTTTTAGGAGGTATTGATTTTGTTATGGAAAGCGGTTGCCTGCTATGGCCAATTCTTGCTCTTCATTTTTAGTATGTACATGAAACATATGAATCATTAGAATTGTGGAGATCGTGATTACATGCATGGAGTGTGAATGATGTGCTTTGTATTTTGCATGGGAAGTATACTGGGTTTACATGTACATTGAGCGTGATTTCTTACCCTTTTTGTGATTTTCAAGGAAAAAAAATAAAAAACAAAATCTTGTGGTGTAACTTTGTTGGGTATTCCTAATAGTTGTTTATTGCCTTTGTGAATTTTGAAATACTTTTACTTCTAGTTATTTTTATAAGATTTAAAACATAAAAAAAAACTATTTATAAAGTTAATATTAAGGGAATTTGGGTTAAAGCCAATTGTCATCCCTGTACTTTGAAATTTTATTCGTTCTCATCCCTGTACTAAGAATATGTTCGTTGTCATCTCTCTACTTCCCAAACACTAATAAACGTCATCCTTCTACTCACGTTTTTCCATTAAATGTTGTCCTTATTTGGACGTCGTTATTTGAGACATTTATTTTGACCATTACATGTCGATAGTTAACTGTTAACATAATTATTTATTTATTTATTTATTTTTTACTTTATTCTAACTTAGTGGGGGACCACATCTAGTTTCCTTTTCATCATCTTCCACTCCAGTTCCTCAAACTCATCCTTTTTTTTTTCTTTTTGCACAGAAACCTAATGCCCAACCCTAGATTAAATGAAATTAGCATTTTTCAACCCACTTTGTAGAATGTTGGGATATATTTTTACTTTTAAAGAAAAAAGTATAACTAAAAATTTATTATTAAAAATAAATAATAAAAGGGTTTATTATTTTATAATTTAAATTGTATTAAATTTAAGAGTTTATATTTTACAATTTAGTATAATATAAATTACAAAACACTTTCAATAATAAAATACTAAATAATATTTTGACTTTAATAAGTTATATTAAATAATAATAATATCATTAAGCAATTTGTAAATTGTATACTATATTTTTTTTATTCTTAAAATATCACTTTAGATATCACATAAATTTATACAGTTAAAATATAGCAAATTACTATTTTATGGTAAATGATATGATAAATCACTGAAATATAGTATAGACATCTCAATTAGTTTTTTAAAAATACTCTCAAAATCTATTGTATTTTTTTCAAAAAAAAAAAGAAAACTTATTAAAAAAAGTTATTATATAAAATAATCTTACACTTAAATACAAAAGGAAAATTTAGTTTTATCAACAAAAAGGTGTTTTGTGAGATAAAAGTCAAGGGGTAAATAAAGAATTTTGATGGTGGAGTTGGAGAAATATGCTAAGTGAAAGATTATAGTGGTTACGAAGGGCATCAATTGAGAGAGAGTGAGGGATATACGAGATATTAATTTTGATAGGTTGTAAAAAAATAAAAAAAGACTCCACCACTCTTTGATATTGAAGTGCCTTGGGATACAAAAATAA